CATCATCATCATCATCATCATCATCATCATCATCATCATCATCATCATCATCACCAACCACCACCACTCCATCACCATCATCATAAATCAGCCATCGCCGTCATGGTCTATCATCCTCATCCCTAGATCATAAGCAAAGATGACTCGGACTGGTGGCAGGCCAAGAAATGGGACAACGAGAGCTCGGGGCCTGCCGGCCTCATTCCCTCCCCTGAGCTGCAGGAGTGGAGGACAGCTTGCGCAGCCATCGAGAGGGCCAAACACGAGCATGCAGGTAGGCTCGATAGATTATTGGACTTTTCTCGCTCTGATCCTGTCTGATCATTATGATTGAATCTATTTGATCAGTTGACAAATGAGTAACCCTTGTAAGTTTGATGAAATCTCGCACTCAGTTTGATAAAATCCTCCCAGTTTGTTGAAATCTCCCAAACTTGATTGAACCCCCTAAGATCTGTGAAATTCTGAAAGGAACTTGAAGTTTTGAGGCAATTGTTAGTAAAACTGCTGACACTTTTCATATTGTAGGATCTGTCTGTGTCTTACTTTTCCCAGTACTAAATAGCCATTATTGTGCCCATTTGCTTTTTTTACTCCAAAAAAAAAATGGTATTGTAGGCTTTAAAACTTTTCTTGTTTGTAGCGTTGATGTTCTTTTCATTGACAAAGAGGAAACACTAGAGCCATCTTTCCTTTCGCTGTTCAGTTGGATGCGTACTTATATTGAACCTACGAATGCATCTAGTTGAGCAAAGTCGATTTTGCAGAGATTTATTTTGAACCTTCGAATATATTTAGCTGGTGAAGGTCAAATATTCAGACCTTTATTTTGGACCTATAGACCCTTCTACATCAGACATGAGCAGACTACAGATTGCGGGCAAGACCCGACTTGTGAGCAGTTTCAGTGTGGCGTGCGAGTCGAATCTGTAATTAATAATGAATGTGGCCCTCGATGAGGTGATAATTAATCAAAACAAAACTCTCCTTCTTTACTATTACAATCAATAGTTTCCTGCCCTGCTAGAAGCAGTTGATCTTATATGTTGTCTCATGTCGTCGTTGTTATCAATCCAGAGATTTTTATCGCATAAAATGCCCTTATGACGTAAATATGCTGAAGTGTCAGTTTTTGTCTCACTTTTGAGAGCTTGGTCAACCAATTTCACCCATTTTCTCCTACTTATGGCCTGCAAGATATATAGGTGAGGCAGCGTGGTGGAATCAGGCTCTTGTCAATTTTTGGGCGTGTAGATTTATTGGTATCATCTTAAAGCGTGTTCATCTGTCTTTATTTGGATGAAAAAAATACCCGTTTATCTTGAATACAAGTCGAGATATTTGCGAATGAAGGAGGTGGGGTCACCTGTTTTCAGAGGTAACATTAGTGAGAAAATGGCCGCCAAAGATTAGTTTTTTCCTTAGCTTAAGAGTAAGAGTCCGTGGCAACTGAAAATTTACATTTATTTTACCTTTAATCAGTGTTTTTCAGAAACATCCACGCAGAAATGAGTTCTTTAATGGGCACGAAAGGTGTTGAGCCAAAAAACGAAAATTTGATAAAAATTCACAAACCTGCAGAAAAATGCAAGTTTCTTCACTTTGATTATTTTGACGAGAGCCTGATTCCACCCCGCTGCCTCACAAAAAAGAATTGCATAATCTAAGCTGTGACGTGGACATGCTTCCCCATGACTGATCAACATTATGCCAGAATCAAAACATCTGTCCAAAATAGTGAACACATAATAATGTGCATTCAAGAAATTAAGGTCTTTTAATGTTGTTTTAAAATGTAGTGCAAAAAGAATGATTTACAATATGTTCATTCTCTGCTTTCTTTTTCAGCCAATTGTTCATGGTTTGCCCGGAAAAAGAAGGACAAGTACCTGGCCAAGCATAATGCTGTGTTCGATCAACTTGACCTTGTAACCTACGAAGAGGTTGTGCGACTGCCACAGTTCATGCGTAAGACCTTGGTGCTTCTCGGTGCACACGGGGTCGGGCGTCGACACATTAAGAACACCCTCATCACTGGACATCCGGATAAGTTTGCTTATCCCATACCTCGTGAGTAGAGACGGTCATGTTGATTTCAGGGTTCCCTCTCAACAGGGAAAAGGAGAAAAAGCCAGGCCTTTCATTTTCAGATTTCCTGATCGAGAAATCACCTTGAAAATGAATAGAAACGAAAATATACTTGAGACAGCTGGGAAATTAAAGGGCTGCCCTTCATGAAATTGGCGGAATCGCGACTTTGTTTACCTTACAATTTTCATACAACCCCTGTCCTTGACAACTTAGGAAAAGGGACTATCTGTGACTATGTTACAAATTTATCTTGCATTTCTTTTCATTTCCTCCTCCCAGCTGTTATATCAAAAAATAAGATCCCTTTGAAAATGGTCACAAATTCTAGGGGGCAACCGAAAAAAAACAACCCAGGAAATTTGTACTTCTTGATGAGTAGGAACCCTGTGATTTGTGGTGTTTGTCTTGAAGAATAATTAGCATTTTAACTGCTGAGCAGAAGACTTTGCCATGTGCCACTTGAAAAAATGACGTATGACGGAATCTTACACTGAGGAGTTGGTATCGTTTTGTTTTAGCAAAAGTTTTATGGCGCTTGCAATACAGTGAGGTCATTTAAGTGCTGAAGATTAGAGGTATTACATGAGAGTAACAAACAAAAAAGGAGAAGAAGAGATAAGGACAATAGATGTTTGATTGGAAAGAAGCAGCAAACCACACTAGAGCACCCTCCTAACATATCTTATTCTTTCCTTGCCTTGATTTGGTATTTGCTTGAGCTGAATTTACCTTTTGGCTCAGTCTGCCAGATCTGAGGTGAAACTTTCTGCTTTTGAACTGTTCTCCATTGTGTAAAACAGTTTAAAATATCAACAAATCATAGCTCCTGTGATAAGACCATCAAACACCTGCAGAGCAAATTTTACAGGAAATACAACAAAATCACGAATGCTCAACTGTGGGAGAGAACAAGCCAAAGGCCAGTAAAGGAAGATATTTAGGTGAAGAAATGGAAATGGATTGGACACACCCTGAGGAGACCCCCGACAAGCATCATCAGGCAGGCATTAACGTGGAACCCACAAGGAAAGCGTAATAAGGGAAGACCAAAGATGACATGGAGGCGAGCGGTACAAGCGGAAATTGAAAAAGCGAGGACATCATGGAAACAGATAGAAAAGGATGCTCAGGACAGGCTTCGCTGGAGTAATGTTGTTGATGGCCTGTGCTCCACTGGGAGTTTAAAAAAGGGCAAGAGAAGACAACAAAATTATTTGGTTTTATCAATCAAGTGGGCCAGAAGGTTATTTGGCTTTATTGTTATGTTTTTGGAGCATTCAGGGGGTGTCTTTGACTGAAAGGATGAAATGAATAATTTATTATCGATTCATCAGATTAACAGAATTGTGATATTTTCTGGGGTAGGCAGTCTTATCCCAGGGATGTTGAAATACTCTACACAGCCGTACACACAAAGTTTTGTCTTTACAGATACCACAAGGTATAAAATTCTCTTACAGATACGACAGGGAGTTGACAGATACCACAAGGTATATAATTCTTTTACAGATACGACAGGGAGTTCATTTCCTGACAGGTATCACAAGGTATAAAATGTCAAAGAATTATAAACAAAATTTGACACACAAACCCCCAACCCTTACTGGTATCACTGGGTGTAAAGCGTCTGCAAATACTATAAATACCCAACATATACACGTAAATTACTGCCCATACAGATACAACAGAGTGTTACGAATACCGCAGAGTCGAAGATGTCAACCAAGATTATTTGAAACCTAACCCACAAAATTCTACCAGGTGCCGCCGTGTATAATTGTCATTGTAAATATTTGGAGACCAAAAGGATTTGAAAACCGTCGCCATAATTTAGATTGTTCAAATGCAGGCTGCCTTAGCCCTGCCTGTTGGGGCCAACTTTTGGCTGAGTGATGGGATACTATGGTCCAAAGACAGAGACTTTCTACAAAAATCCTTACCATTTGGAAAAAGAACTATTTTGTGCATGCTGCAGCAAAGACCTTAGCTATTACACCACAGACACCTTTTAGTTTTAGTTTTAGTAAGTGTTTTACGGCACAATAAGGTCATGTAAGTGCCGAAGAATAAATGTGTCACAAGAGAGTAACATACATAAAAAAGGAGGAGAGATAAAGATGATAGATGTTTGATAGGAAAGAAGAAGCAAACCACACCGGAGCACCCGCCAACCACCCACACACCACAAACGCCGACAGGGTGCACAATATATCAGAGAAAATATTGTACAAACCTCTCGCACAAATTTCTTCCTTTACAGATACCACCCGACCCCCACGCAGTGACGAGGGGGATGGGAAGAACTACTTTTTCGTGTCCCATGAGGCCATGATGCGGGACATCGCCAACAACGAGTATCTGGAGTATGGGACACACGAGGACGCCATGTATGGCACCAAGCTGGAGACGATACGCAGCATTCACAGCAACGGCCTGATGGCCATCTTAGATGTGGAGCCTCAGGTGGGCCTCCTGTTCTGTGACAACCCGATACGGGTTTGTTATTGGGTGAAAGTAAAGTATATCACATACATGCCTACATACACACTCACAAATGCGCACACATACATACGCTCACACACTGACACACATACGCATACACAAACACATGCTCACTTTCTCTCTCACACACACACACACACACACACACACACACA